AACAAGAGTGCGGGAAGACCGCCCACCACCTGCCGAAACTTCCTTAGCCTGACGAAGGGTTTTTGAACCCGAAAGCTTGCTTAATAATTGTTTTCCAACTATTTATGTTGGTCTAATAAAGGATATCAGATTCACCCAAAGAAGCTTGTCTGCCTATGTCCTTAGACCAACATGGCTACAACCTACACCCCAGTAACCTCTTTCAGTACATTTCTAGCTCGCTTGCAGAACAAGGATTCTAGTTGTCTGAAATTTGGAGTCTAAGCTCTGGAGACTGCACATCAAACAAGACAACTTTTATTATTATCCTTATATACTTTTCATCACTATTACAGTTGGAACATTGGAAACATGCAGAAAAGTTGCTTGCCATTATCTTTAAACCTTTGAGAAAAAGAATGTACATCTACGCAAATGAAAATCCATACAAGACCTCCTGAAATGTGATGTTAAATATTCTGTAGGGGAAAATTCTTAATTCCTCAAACAGACACTTCCTGTGGTTTCATATACAAGAACAATAAAACCTGCTGGTAACAAGTATTCCCTTCTGAATGGAGCTGACACACAAGGACATTTAAGGCCCTGCTGACTCAACACTGACTCCCTTTTTGGCTTGATCCATGTGTGCAGGCACACACGGTTTGTGGTGCTGCAAACCTCTTTGCAGTGCTATAAACCATATGAGTTGCACATTAATCAGTGTGAAGCACTGCTAATTTTGCAGCACCAGTGCAAAATTTGCTACTGGGATTTACGCATGCTGCGGAGCCCCCCTGCTGAGGCACCCCTACACCCCAGCCAGTCGCTCCCTGGCTAGCTGGGGCGCAGCGTGCCTTGAGACAGAAGGCAGCTCTGGGCTGGCTCGATGTACCTCAGCATGGGGGCTCTACTGCTCCCCTGTCTCAAGGTACAATGCGCCCAGTCCAGCCCCCTGCTACAGCACACTGAGCAGCAGAACAAGTGTCCCTCTGCAAAGCACACAGGCAGGGGGGTGCACTGCGGCAAAAAGTAGTGGCACAAATTTGTACTGCTACTATTTGTGACGCTGCAAAGACATACCCCTGCTCATGTGGACCTGGCCTTACAGTCTATCCAGAATCCCAGAAACAAATATTGCTTGGATTAAAATACAAAAATAAAGGGGGAAAAAAAGAGTCATTGAGTATGAAACCCACAACAAGCAAGCTAGTGTGTCTGATATTGCTGCTGCTGGTATTGCTCTAAACTACTATGCTAGAGCTCTCAAAGTTGCACAGAATTTACAAACAAAAATGTTATAAATTAAAGACTAAAATTTGACTGGGCATCGATCTCAGCTCACTTCCCTATAGAAAAAAAGTGTCCACATTGCAGAAATTGCCCCCAATATTTAATAGCTCTAGAAGCACTAAGGTTTGAATGAACTTGGAGATTGAACATCCTATTATGGTCAAAAAGTTGAATGAGGGAGGATGCCTGGCTTCTGTATGTATTGTGAACCAAAGAATTCAACGCCCAGGGAGACCCATTCCACACTAAGTTCATAAGCTTTTTTAAAAACATTTTTTGAACTAAAACAGAAGAAAACATAATGATCAACTCCTCAAGGTAAGAACACTGATTTGGCACAGTCCAGGTAAATCCATTTTCAGGCCTATCACTTTTGACAGTGCCTCTATTTCTTTAGCTTGTAAACTCTGCAATCCTCTTACAACTGAATTAGCACGAGACCATCTGTTGGCCTACTTATCTACCTTCCAATGAAGTCAATGGGACAGGTGAAGGACATAAACACTCAATGTCTGATGAGAAGTGTACTAGAGTGTGCTGCCTAATTTGCTGTGTGGTTCCATTTTTTAAATATTAAACAAGTTTTGAAAAGCAAAATAGATTCTTGAATTTATGTCCTAATTTCTTATTTCAGAGAACAAGTACCCATATTTGAACTTGTCACCTCCAGACAGCAGATATGGACAGATCCCATTTCAAATTACAGATAGGAACTGCATGAAATGATACATCCATAAGGGTGAAGAAAATGTATATCCCATTTGATGAGTACTTGATGAACTTCAGGCATCAAGGCATTTTCATGTATTCATTCTTTTCCTGGATTTTTTTCTAGCAAGTCACAGACTTTTTTGCATGTTAACTGGATTGAACAACACATAGTCATTTCTTCATTGGTACTATATATGTGATACATACATACACTTTTCATCCTCTCAACATTTTGCAAATATAAACTTATGCTGCAAGAGTCTACTATGGCAGAAGTACTAGTATCCCTGTTTTACAGATGAGGAAACTAAGGTAGAGAAGTTTCATGAGTAACCAAAGGCCATATAAGATATCAAAACTGGAAATGGATAACAAATTCTCGTGCTGAAATGAAGTCTCTCTTTTCTAAGCTGAAGTAGCCATAGGACTCCAAATATGCTTACTGTTAGATAGTCAACATGAATTTATTTCACAGAAATAAGTATTTTTTAAATCATACATGAGACAGATGTTCCACAGTGCCCTTGTAATTCTACAAACACTTGGTAAGTACCATATCTTGTTGTTATAATGGAGCCCAGTTAAAAGGAAAGAAGTTACATAAACACATTCCTAAAAGGAGGCATTGCTTAGACACTAGTTATTTTGCAAGGTAGTCTCTCTATGTATAAAAAGGTGGGCAAAACATGCTTTGTGAGTTATTTAAAACTAATATGCCTGAAGTTAAGCTTCCTATTCACTGAATTATAATTTCATTAATAAGCCGGAGCTCTCTTAGATGAAGACCCATCAAATACTTACCCATGCAATAAAAAAAAACACACCACCTCTTTAATTGTTATTTTATTTAATGTTATTTTAATTTATCCTACCTGAGGATTCCAGCTGGGATCCAGTTTTCTCACTGTGGCAATGTACTCCTGCATAGCCTGGTGAGGACTTGAATCTCCCAGTGCTTTCCATGCTTCCCTGGGGTACAAAGCAAAAGATAAATGACTAATTCAAAATAAATAATACAACCATTCTTATTCTCTGTTACAAAAGTGAAACATTCTGATCAGGAACAGCAAAAAGATCTTTTACCCAACTTAAAATCCTCAATCCTTTAGTCAGGCCTAAAATCAATATTAGCCGCACAGCATCACCACGGAAATTCTTAGTAATTACAGCTGCCTAGGACACGTACAGTTTTATTAAAGCCAAAATGTTCCATAGAGATGTCCTTCTTTCCACAAAAAATGTCATTAGAAAAGTTTTGGGATCCAGCAGACAAGAGAAATTCTATAGCTGGGTAGACAAGATACTAGCCTGGGAAGTGAGAGACCTACCTTCAAGTCACTGCTCTGACCAATACAGAATGACCTGGGATGTAAAGCTCTGCTCAAAATTGAGTTAGTGATTTAAACCTCAACTGTCCATATTCCAAGATTAGCATGTTATTGATGACAACACAACCTATCTCTTTAGACATTCCAGCAATGAAATGACAACAAATTTCAAAACCTGCTTTGCAGCAACTTTTGAGAGCTGTTATCCTGTGGTCAGCTCTATCAATTGTTAAGAAAGGGAACAAGAGAGAGTAAATGTAGAGCAACGTTCTAGGTCCCCCCGACTGCAAACCATCTAAAAGAAATGACAAAAACTACCAAACATTTTTAGGAATTGCAAGGATTTCCTCTTACCATTTCTGCTTCCCCTCAAAATCAAAGAAGCTGGGCTTTGGAGTGTTACAGGTCCCAAATTTGACCTAAAGAGGATAAAATGTCCTTTGTTAGAACAAATAGTCGAGAGAGGCAAGTTTAACATAGGATTATAATTAGTTAGCCAATTCATGTCAGCAGGTTTAAAGATCTGTTAGCCTCTTGATCTCAGAGTAAATTTATACTCTTATCAGATTAACAGTTGTACACCTCAGGTCTTTCCTGAAAAACCTTCAACCCCCTTTTATATTTAAACCATCTCCCACAGACAATGGCACCTCTGCTTCCTGTTGTTTTCTGTAAAGGATGTAAGGGAAAATTCTGATATGCAGCTCATTTTTTCTGCATACATTTTTACTCAACATTACCTTGATTACCAATCTGAATATTTCATCCTCCACCAGAGTAGAAAGAAATCCCATTGTTTGGAGTAGCTACACAGCTAAAACAGTGGAAGATGAAATTTACTTCCTCCTGCACAAAGCCTAATGGAACAGGCTTTATTTAATTACCTTTGATGGTCATGTTGAATAAAAGAGGACAAGCTTGTAGTGGAGAAAGGCCACTTGCTTTCTCAATTTCCTCCAGAGGCATCCAGCAGCACAGGAGCAGGAAGAGAAGCACCAGACATTGAAAAGTGAGTCCAGGCTGCAGCATGGTGGGATGAACCAATTGGTCAGAAACAAAGTGTTAAAGTAGGAGTAGGAGTAGATAGGAACAACAAACTCCACTCAGGAAGGGAGGCAAGAAAAAAAAGAAAAGAAAAGGAAACTAGCAACCAGAAAAAAGTTAATGGATGGGTGCTAATCAGAACAACATGTTGGGGTGAAGAGAACAAATACTGAAGATGAGATGGTGGTGATCTCACATTTCGGAGAGGGTTAGCAAATTCTACGTGTAGACACAAGGGCTCAATGCTCATTTGCATTAAGACCCTCTTAAATAGACCACTCATGTAAAAAAAGACCTAAGCCTACTCAACACTACAAAGTTTTGCTAGCAGAACTCATAACTCTTCTGTAGCAGAACCCTCTTTTTTGCAGGCAGTTATACCACCTCTGCCAAGCAGACTACAGGTTCTGCCACTGTCCAGAAGGACACAGATACAGACACTGCTACGTTCTCTACCAGCTGCTATCGTCCCTTCAGTTGTTGGTGTCTTTCTGGAAAGGAAAAAGGTTCTACTGAAATCAGCAGGTAAATATGAACAAGACGGTAGTGTAAATAGAGACCGGACCCAGGATATTTTTCCAGACAATAGCATATTCACTAATGTAAGGAAAGCCAAGTCCTTCACTTTCTTGCCTTTATTGGAAGAAATCCAATAGCCACTCTTCTGTTCACCTGCAATGGTATAAATGGGATGCCCAAAGACCATCCCAGCACGAGCTAGCCATGCTGCTTCTCTGCCTAGAGCTCACACCCCAATGGTAGGAGTGGTAATTAGTGTTCCAAGCATAGAACAATGCTAGAACTGGGACCTGAGTCGGGAACAAAGGTTGAGAGGCCAACGTTCTTTGAAGAGCAGCTCAGGAAGAGTTCAATGCTGAATTTTACCTTAAAGGATCAAGTAAGTACCGTAGAAAATAAAGACAGATAGTAAACAACTTAGCACCTGTTGGCTACTTCTCTGTAAATTATTTAAAGGCACATATTAGTATGTTGCAGTAGGATTTACAGCCCCCACAGTTATGGAGTCATGACACTAGACAGAGTGCATCAGTGCCCCTTCCTCTGGCTTCATCTTACCTGCATGCCCAGACAGGACTCATTTCACATACTTTAAAGATAATCTTGATGGACAATGGATTTACAAAAAAAAAAAAGAAAGGCACATGAAATTATTTTTAAAGAAAGTGCATAAGTATGCCTGCACAGATAACTGACTGGAGTCCTTAAATGTGCGACTGAGAGGCCATTCTTTAATCATTCATAAATGACTACATATCCGACTCAGATTCCCAGCTGGTACCCACTAACATGCCAGAGGCCCACTTAGAGCAAGACTGCTGCTGACGTTGCTCCAAATGAAATAATCCTCTTGAAAGCAGTTTTATAGTAAGTCTCTCATAATGCATGGTTCAAATAGCACACAAGAACTATGGCAGCAACTGTGAGGTTTAAATGAATCTGAAAGAATACACATGGGCATTTGTTTTGCAGGGAAAAGTGACAGTCTGTTACTCTGACATCACTAGCTGAGAAGAATCAAGACATCTGAAAACTACAAGAAAGTGTTCTTGGCTGTTCAAACAGTTAAACTGCTTGATTACCTAACATCACTTTAAGGAGATGTTTTTATGTTTAGCATAATCATTTAAACCATTTCAGCTCTTTTAAAAGGATGCAAATTTGGAGGATATGCTATTTTTTATTCAGAATTTTACCAGAGGAATGAGCTACTTTTACTTTAAATGAAAAAAGTTTTACATTTACTCTTTCACAGTAAATGTTTTACCTGTTTAAATCATGACATTTCTCAGTTGGCCCCAGTGCCCTCTTAAAGCAGATTTTTTTCTCCGATGCGGAGCAGGCTCCAAAGCTTAAATATTACTATGCTTTTCTAGTCATTTTGATTCTTTTTATGTCACTTTAAATATTTTCTTTCGCACTCAGAAACTGAGCATAATGCATTTTAACAAAGTGATAAATGTAAATGAAACACGATCTACTATCATCACAGAACAACTTGGCCTAGCAATTTTCTAATTCAGTTTCCAAAACGCATACAAAATGCCCAATCATCGCAGGAGTCGTTTATCTTTCTTACAAATTATCCTTGATCTTCTTCAAAACCTGACACTATCCTCCCCAACCCCTCTGCAACTGACATTCACCAATTTTCTCATACTAAGCAATAGCATAACCACCACTGATACCAGCACAGATTTAGAAATAATGCCTTACCATGATCTATAGAAAAAAAAAAGTGTGAACACCCTGCTTTCCATTTTATGATGCATCGAGAAGAAGTATTAACACCACTAGTAATTAGTAAGAGGCTTAGCTGTAAATGACCAGAGAGGAATAGGTTAGCTTCCCTATTCACTCATAGGAAAAATATCACTCTTACAAAGCTTTATCCAATGTGGCAACAATGGTCTGTGGTACAGTAAGCTGCAAAACAAAATACCCGTACTTATCTTCTAGATTGATGGATTAATGCTCATATATATGGATTAAACAAAATTAATATGGATTAAACAAAATTAAACACCTACAGGTCGAAAGCCCTCTTTCACTAATAGTGTTGGAGTTCTAGATTTGCCTTGACTCATCATTTAGATCAACATTTTTCAACTCATGGGTCACAATAATATTTCAAAGGACCACAAGCAGGGGAAGGGGCTGGGGGAGCTGTGTGGCCAGGCTGGCAACACAAGGGCTGCTGCCTGTGCTCACAGGGGTGGGATGGCCAGGAGATGCTCTTCAGGGGGCACGAGGGGCTGTGACCAGACTGCCTGGCGCAGGACAGGAGCCCCAGCTCAGCGCGCTGGGGGGGGTGGGGGTGCCACAGGCCTCCCCTCCTCCTCCCTCCAGCCTATACTAGGCCAGACTTCTCCACTGCCACCCAGGTTGGCTGGGGGCAGCTGAGCCTTTGGTGGGGTGGGGGGGAGCAGGGGACTGTGGGTCAGGACAAGCCATTGATCTTGGCAAATGGGTTCTGGTACGAAAAAGGTTGAGAACCACTGATTTAGATAGATACTATGAACTCCTCCAAATATTATGGATCATGCACAATAAAGTACTGGTCTCTTCTTTGATCTCCTCTATATGCACCATGGTAACTTATATAGCCCCATCACTGCAGTATCTGAGAGTCACATAATCTAAGGTGTTTATCACCCCAGTAACCATATGACATAAGGAAGTATGACTGTCCTTATTTTATTGATGGGGCCTTGAAGCAGGGGATTTAATGACCTACCAAAAGTCAAACAGAAAGTCTATGGCAAGGCAGAGATTTCAACTCAGGTCTCTAGAGCACTAGGATAGCAATCTCACCACTAAACCGTTTATCTTTCCTTACTGAGGCTGAGCCCTAATGATCCTTAGTAACAAGCTCTGAAAAGCTCATTAAAGACGGCAACTAAGTAACTTCACTCTCTTACTGTCAGGTCTCCCACACAAACAAACTCACAGCTAAGGGCAATAAAAATCTGAAATGGTTTCCAATAAAACATTGTGAAAATCCAAAAAAAAAAAATGTACATACTTAAATAGTTTTAGATAAATCAAGTACAGCATTTGAACAGATTTCTCTTTATTTACTTTTACCTCTTTTATGATTTTGTTTCATCTTAAATCAAAGCCTTTAGCAACAAGAAACATTAAACTGAGGAATGCCAGGGATACCAAATGGTGAACAGATCTGAGTCGGCACCTATGCACTAGCAGTACCACTGTCCACTGGAGTAATATATGTGTATCCTATTATGTACATGGATACAACTTCTATAAGTAGTGAGAGTAACACTGGGTTAAGTCCTACCCATTTTGATTTAAATCCCCAAATGCCACAAAAGTCAAAATTAACAGAGCCCAATCCTGCAGCACCCATCCATGCAAAAACCTCTGTAACAGAAGTGATGTTCCCATAGGGATCACAGGATGCAGGCTCTGTCTGTGACCAGTGTGTTTAGGCAGTGCGAATAGAGTCTTCTGCAAGGCTAAATAATCATCACAAAAGGGTGATGCAAAAACAGAGTGGGACATCCTCGCTTTTGCAGCAGTAACCTAAAAACTTCAGTTATTGAAACGTCTGATGCCTTAATGAGCTTAACAAACCTTTTTTGCTTGGAACAAACAGGTTTTGTGAAAAAAAAAAAACCAAACAGCTCCTAGTTATTTCAAGGCATTCATTAAGCTCTTCATTTCCCCTCTCACAACTAGCAACCCCCTGGAATCTGATATCAAATGTCAATGCAATCATAAAGTTGATAAATTATGCTACCATGCTTTTCCCCTGTCACTTTAGCCACGAGACACTTAAAGATAAAGAGAAAAGGCTAGGTTGTAGGCAAAAGAAATCTTTTGAGACACTAAAAGATAAAAGGACTATGTGACAGGCAACAGAAACTTCCTAGGCATAAAAAAGGCTTGTCAAACATTTGATGCAGTAGCTATTCTGTCATATATATATTGAAAGATGTATATAAGCCTTTTAAAGATACAGTATATATATTTTATATAGATATAGATAGAGTGATAGATCAAGTGATAGACAGATAAACCTCTCTCCTCCAAAGTTCCTTTGGTCACAATTCTCTGCCTCCCAATCATCTTCTACCTCCCCCAGCAAAATTCCTGGCACTTGGGGCTGAATCCACAAAGGGGTTTGGGAATGAGAACACTTATTTTTTGCAATATCCAATTACGAACTTAGTTCCTGAGTGGAAACCACTGAGGCAGGCACACAAACTCCCTATACAATGCACGAGGAGAGTCAAGCGCAGATTTACACCTTACAGACTAACCAAAGTAGATCACACGCACGCACATTCTATACATAATCTCACACACAAACACATGCAGCACAAGCTTTTGTGAGCTGAAGCTCACTTCTTTGGATGCTGATGAGTTAGGTGGCTCATAACAGAACGCAAAGCAATCAGCACGGAGGAGGGAACCACCTAGGTTACTCAACAGGAAATGCTGTAGAGAGAGGCATGTCTTAAATTCTGGTTGCGCTTAAGGTTTTAGGAGCTTAACTTGGGTTGCAGGGAGGCACTTAGGTCAGATCAGGATTCACTGGGCAGCAGAACCAAGTTCTTTCTTTCTTCCCAGCTCTGGTTCAATGAATCTTGAATTCTTTTTTGCAGCCTCGCTCAACCTGCTCCACTCTTTCTCACTGCTATTCTATAAAACTAATCTGGGAAGTATACCCTCCTGGGAGATGTAGGTTTGAGCCTCCCTCCTCAAGCCCAGGCCTACAATCCAAGTGTCCTACATTCGAGAGAGCATTCTAACCATGGAGCTAGTTACAGAAGGAAACACTACCATTACCTCCTCCAGCCATGGCTGGTGTTTTTTTTCCAACAAAAGTGGCTGTGTATCTGTGTTTTGTGCAGAGCTCACTTCTGTCAGTATGTGTAAGAAGTGTTCTGGGCACATCTACAGCATCAGGCCCCTCAGGGAAATTAGGCAGAAGTTTTCCTATTTTGAAGATCCTGATCAGGATTAGGTGCTAAACTACTCACAGCCCCATCACGATGGCAACAGTTCTGAAAACATACAGAAGCAAAGCTTTTAGTACAAAAGCAGTGGTTCCCAACCTTTTTTTGCCGTGACCCGCTGCTGGGAGCAGAGTGCAGCGAGGCCCAGGGATGGGGACGGGGGAGCTCCCAGCATGCAATGCAGCTCGTTGTTTGTGTGCGGTGCCACCAGCATTTCCCCACGACCCTCATTTGGGAACAGCTGCACTAAAGGAACTTTACTGGCAAAAACTAAAGTGTCTCTATACTTTACAAGCCTAAGGAGTCAAATAGGGGTTTTGAGGATAAGGTTCTTGAATTTAAGCCCCTAAATTTCACTTAGGCCCTTCGGTAGATTTCAGCTTTGACCTCTTCTCTCTTGGACACGATGCCCAATGAACAAGGTCCTTTTTTCCCCTGAATACAGTTAATGGTGGCCTTGGTCCCTTCCCCCTCCCCACCCCAGACATTCATCTCCTGCTGGCAGATGGCAGCTTTGGCCCTGCAAAAAGTTCCAGAGAAGAGATCCTCTCATTCTCTAACACTGTAGCTTCTTTGTTTGCTTCCCTTTCTACAACTCTCCATGTACTTCTTTACATTAAAGAAAAAGAAAGACATTTTTAGAAACAGCAGAGAACATGAAAACCAAGCATCATGTGGCATCCAGCTCGCTACAAACTACAATTAATGATCCACAAGATATAATTTGGGAAAAATTGACCTATGACATAGTAAAACACCTTCCCTTTTATCAAAGAATTCAAGTGCTAGCAGCGAGACAAGTGTTTTCACTTTGGAAGGAAAATCAGTGGGAAAGTGTATGTGGCTAACCCAAAATGACTGAGGCCATGGAAAGACATAACTTTTAAAATGCATCAAATGCCACTGTACGTCAAAGTGCTTCAAAAATGAAGCACTTCAGCTAACACACCTCCCAGAGAGAACATTTCAAAATCACTGCAAAGGCTTGCATCATCCTACTCTCCAGCTAGGGAGCACAATAGGGGGTTGCTCAGTCCTGTAGCTTCACTCCCCACCACACCCCCAACACATATAGGAGAGCACTACTGACTTACTCTACACTTCTCTTTGACTCTTCATGGAGTGAAGGGGAAAGAGGTGAGTCCTGTGGGACACTGGGAAACCATGCAACCCCGTGTTGCACTCCATACGGTATTCACACGTAACATTTTGAAGAACTTCAAAAAAGTTGCTTCTTGATCAAGGGTTGCTGCTCTCTGTTTTCAAAGAAGTTGCTGTTCTCTGAAGCACATTTTCGGAGCACTTCATAGGGTGTGTACTTCTGTCTGCTCACCATCTGAAGAGTGCTCTAAATGTTATGTCTGTCCATGACCCAAGCATAGCCATTTTCACTTACAACTTTTAGGTCAAGCCACGCATCTCTAGCCAAACCTTGAAAAATAATCTGACAGATACATGACTGGAATAAGTTGAACCGAAAGAATAACAAAAAAGACATTTCCAATTCGCTGACTTTAAGCACCTGTGTCCAGTTAATTTCTGTGTTACATTTTTGTACATGCAGGTTCTTAACACAACAGAGAAGGGAAAATCATGTACAAAGATGGGAAAAGAGGACTTTAGAACTGGAAAATATCAGCAGGAGTACCCCAGAGCAGGCATACTACCTGAAGCCACTATCAAAGGGACTAGGTTTCAAACTGATGAACATTTAATAAGGAAAATATTGGGATATGTAGTTCAACTAATTATTCCGATCAAATGGAAGATACTTCAGGGTCTTGCCATAAATGGTACAAAGTACTCAGTTACAAAATAGCTGCAAATCATCCCAGGGTCAGATACATAACTGGAGTATCAGAGACTGGGGCCGTATCTCCAACTTCATACCTATTAAAACTTCCCTTGTGTGGTTTTTAATTTAATTTTAATTTAACTTTCCCTGGAGTGACCACAGTCTATTATTCCCTTGCGTCTTTTTAAGACCCTGCATGTACAAAAAAAAGCAACACAGAAATTAACTGGACACAACGTATTGTCAGGTGCACAAAGTCAGCAAATTGGAAATGTCTTTTTCGTTAATCTTCCAGTCAGACTTATTCCAGTCACATATCTGTCTGATTATTGCTTTTTATAATAAAAAGCTGTTGATTTTAGGAAAAGTGTCTTGAAAATAATACTATCAAATGTTTAAGAGGCTCCTTTAAATGTTTTTTAGATGAAAGGAATCCAGTTGCACATACCTGGGGTCAGCGCATGCAAACTGATTGTGAAACGGATCAGAAAGTCTGAACGTGACATGAAACTCTCCAATCTGTTTTCAGAGACCAATCTATGCCCCTGGCCCTGCAATCAGCCAAGCAGGGACAGGTCCTTGAGGGCAGCCCCACTAAACTACGCAGCGCTGTATGGGGCAGGACCCCCTTGCAGGATGGGGGCCTCCCCAGGGAAGAGCAGAAGCAGCATTAGCCTGGTGGCGCAGAAGCGTTTCTCAACAGGTTGCGGGAGCTACCGAGGCAGAGGAGGCTGCACCCCCATACTTACCGCCCGTGCTCTGGAGCAAGGGGAGGAAGAAGGCACGGGTGAAACAGCAGTTGTCATGAGAGGGAGCCCTGCCTCCTGGCCCAGGGGCACCTCAGCTCAGCCCTGCGCCCGCCACCCTCTGCACTGGCAGCGCCAGCGGCACAAGTGCGCGAGGCAGAGGTGCAGCCCGGTCCTGCCCGGCGCGGAGCGGGGGGAGAGGATCGCTCATCCGGGGGTGCCAGTCGCTCAGAGCCCCGAGACGCCGTAAGTAGCCTAAGAGCCGCGCAGCCACCCGGCTCCCGGGGGGCTCGCGTGTCCCGGAGCCGCCCCCACCCCGGTGGCGGAAACCCGCTCTCACCTGCTTGTATCGCGCATACAGGTAGAGCAGCTGCTCCTTGCTGGCCACCCCCACCAGCCCCGGCAGGCGCGCCGCCGCCCGCTCGAACAGC